GGTCCATTTGGAGGTATCGCTCGAGGTGCACTGCCGTAGCTGCCCACAGAATGTGGAACTGAATGGGCTCTGTGAAGGGCTGTTTGCCGAAAAGACGTAATTCGCGAGTTTTGACGTTCTAAATTCACGTCGCTTTCCACCAACTACAGGGATTTCGGTTATCTTCCTCTACTTGTTTCCCTCCGCTGATGCCCAATCTATTCTGAGCATGCCAACAGTTGGGTGACTGGTTCCCCAGTTTGTGGTAACGATGCATTTTGTACATAAAAACGAGCTTCAACAAATTTGCGAACGCATCTTTGTGATGTCCTTAGGGGTAGCGCGGTTGCTGTGCATGCCATATCACCACTGTGTTGGCATCTGGAGTAACATGGGAGAACTAGATTCTCACTCCCGGCCCGGCTTACACCCAAGATCGCCGTTTTACTCGTACACATGTGCCACTAGACCCTCTTGTATCTTCTCTTGTGGCTCACTGGACAGGAGGGCTATTCTGCTACGTGAAGAATTCCTGGAGGTGCAATGGAATTCTGGGACCTAGCTCATCGTAGTTGTACATATAGCTGAATGGTCTGATTGACCAGAGCAAAATTCATCCACGTATTTTCCTAATTTGTATAGGCCGAAAAATATTGATCTGCAAACTTTTTCCACACTTGTTTCGATTGTCTCACGATGTACAAATATTGTTAAAGCCAGAAAATTTCAGTAGGTGGGCTCAAGTTTGTTGCCATTATATCAACTCTCAAGTTCTGGATGAGAAAGCCGTTAAGATAACAGAAATCCCAAGCATGCATCTTTGCACTACCTGGATTTTGCCTTTGTTTTTAACACTGAAAATTGCATGCTCTTGTCGTGGCCTAAACGGTTTTGTTTCAACCAACGCCGAAACCAATTCACCTTTCTAGGTGGCTGTTCATTTCGCTGAGACAAAACATACTTGTGGAATGACCCCAGAAATATCCCAAAATACCGGTTTTTCAGGTGTTACAGGGTTCATTGACATAAAGTGGCTCGGGCTCACTCCAACAAGTGAACTTTTCATGAACGTTAGAGTGTTCTGACTTTTAGGTCATTTAGTTATTCGGCACATGTGTACGATTGCCAAAAAATCGGACCACACGAAGCATTCTGCTTCTTTTGGGACTCATCAGTAGTATAGGTAGGGTAGGTCAAATCCTGTTTTGAAGTCACTGCGGCCACAGAATGACTTCTAAACAAAAATAGCTCCCAGATGATTATGTCCGACTATGATGAATCGAACGCCATTTATACAAACTTTGCTTTGATGGTACTGGCAGGATCTTTTATGCATAAACCTCACCGATAAGACCAAGGTCACTTTTTTACAAGTACACTGGACATGACCAGTTTGCTAACTAACCGGTTACTGACCATTGGAGAGGGAAGCAAAACTCTCATTTGCATCTTATTTACAAAAACTTGACCTCCATCTTCTCCTGAACGCGTTTCCTTAAACTTTCCTGGATATTCATTGACTCCGATCATTCATCGCTCAAATCCAAGCAAATGTTACAAAGCGACTTGACAAATTCCGCAACAGATCTCTCTTTTCAAGAGACGCAAAGCGAAGTTCCAAGAACAACACATACTACTCGGATGTCTCCCCATCAGTAGTATCACCGTTACACTGGTATCACCTATGGGATGAAATCTCAACTGTCCAGTGTACCTGAATTTAAGGATCCCTTGTTTCATCTACCACCCAACCAACCACGAATTACTATGTGATGTTGCTCGGGTGGGCGAAATTCGCATTTCAGTGGTACTCACTACTGATGAGTGTGTACCCGACGTCCATTGAGTGCTCTTGGGTGGTGAGCGACCTTTACTGGCAATATGTGTATTTTCCAACTTTTTCCAAAGTGCCCTAAGGGCTGAGTTTGGGACGGTTTCGTGATACGTATTGGCGAAATAAAACATAATTTCTAAGTCGATACTGAACCGGCAGCATTCGTTTGACCTACTGGTGAAGGGTCGTCCGCACAATCCGAGTCAAGCGATTAGCTTTCCCCCTCTGATCATGGTGAAAATGCAGTTCTGGAAGAGGCTGAATGACTCGTCTACTTGACTTAGCTGAGACGAGTTACTAGTTTCTTCAGACGAGGTTAGATTACTGAATTTCATTTCATCCGTAATTATCACGTCACAATTTCTTACTACCCACAGGCAATTTGTATTTTTGTCGGGCAGTCCACTCGTCTGAGATGCTGTTTCGGGGAAGCTTGTCTTGGAGATGTTCCGCTTCCGACTAGAAAGAATAGCCGAACCGGATGATTCCCGCTCTATTTCCTCCGTATTTCCGTTCCGATGAAGCGTAGTGGTCACAGCTTCGCGGGGAAACACTCGATCAAAACCGTACTAACCGAAATGAACACACATGGCCGATTCGGCGATCTTACCAAGACAAAGAAAGAAAGCACGGGAGAAAGGAAACGGCATCTGCTCGTAGGCTGTGGAATTCGTTGTGAACACACTTTGTGGGTGCATACATGTGTCTGTTTGAAAACCGATGATCAGAGCGACATTTCACCCATGAGCAAACAAAGCGTAAGCTTCCTGCGCGTTGCAGATCACATGTTTCCTCTCCAAACGTTCCGATCCATTCATGGGCACGGCGATTTGTCCAACCATGCATGTGAGCATGCGTTCTCGTAATGAGTGATTTTATTAGAAAGTAAACATTTTCAAAAAAAAATTATTGCAGCGAGCTTACTCTCTCTTTTTCGGCGTGTCCTCGATATCGCTGAGCTGATTACGATGATACTGTCCCAAATTTGTTTGTTAGCGGGAACATGTTGCAGGACGTTTGTTGCCTCTATCTTAATCGATCTGACAGGTACTACTGCATGGAAACTCCGAGAGATATATTAAGGCCAGTCATGTGAAAGTCGCTTAAGAAGATCCCTTTTGAGAGAGACGAATCATCTGTTTCGGTACACATTCGAGGACTGAATTACCTACCAAAGAGGACCGACCCGCAATCAAGCGGGACAAAAATGTAGTCAAACTGGTTGCAGTGAGTTATACCCTGAAAAATAACCCTGAAGGTTCTTGAGGAATCGAGCTACCATGCGCTTTGGTCTGATGGAGGCTCATAAAGTGGAAGGAACACAATGTAATCTTTTGTTGTTCACATCTCAAGATAAAATACACAAGTCTGTGATTTGTTGATTATCAGATCTTCATTGAGGATGGTGCAAAATTACTACTGATTGTGACTACTCACTAGCGACCAGATTCGCAATGGCCTTAGATTCACATGCTAACCTGTTCGAAAAACAAATTATACTTTTCGGGAAGTACACTTATTTCCAAATCATCTTGGTTTTCACGAGAGACTTAACTGAATCTCTCGTTTATGATATTCTATAACTGAATGTGCTGCACACAGGCCGCCTCTTGATTCAGTTGGCACGATATTCGCAGTATATTTTCATAAAGGAAACTCGGGGACTGCGCCTACCTGATGAGACCCAAGAAGGGCGAAACCGGTCGCGGGCTGTCGAAGAGTTTTCAGCAACCTTGTGAGTAGTTTCTCTTGTGAAAATTCAATTTTTGTCTAAACCAGAGGTTCTCTTCATTCGTTGTTACTGGCAACGCGTTTACACCTTGTGTACACGTGAGTTCACTGACACCTTAGTTCAGGAGCTTCAACTTAACATATTTTACGGGAATGATTACACTCCTTTTGTTGAAAGTTGTTCAGCATCGGCCACTTTAGAGGTTTCCGGAATTCTCCCAAACACCTGAAGCAAGTACGGTAGGTTCCTCACTGGACACGAAACAGCTGGTCATCATCAGCTGGTCACACTTGATCAGCTGACCGAATCTAATCTAACCGAGTCTAATCCCTGAGTATGAACGTGTCCTGCAGATAAGGGGATTTTCGACCGGTGTGCACGCTCGTAAATTTGTCGGGGTTCGCTTCATCCGGACTTGGCACTAGATGGGCGAAATTCAGGGTCGGTTATTCCAGTGGACAGTGTCTCTATGCGTTCAGCATGCTCTGCAAAACCAGTGCAATTCGTTGTGGCTGGCTTCAAACTTTTACTTCCACCCAGGAAAGTTGTGAAACTCGGATCACCTTCAAAGGTGCGTTTGATGTGAGCTTTCTCTCCTTCCCTCACTGCTGATGTATGATGGCATATCCGCAAAAAAGATACGTAAATTATCCGAAAAGCATTTGCGGCGGTACGGATCGTCGGCAAAATGACTCACTACCCTTGAGTAAGTTTTTGTTGTTCGGCTATCGTCGGCAGGTATTCTTCTTTTGGTCAGTGAACGAATTCTCGTGTGTGTGTGTGGGGGGAGGTTGGAGAGATAAAGAGGTACGTGTGCGATACTGTCGTGCTCACGGTTCTCGTCAAGACTATGAGGGCGAGGCAATCTGCGATTGTTTGATAGGGGCGGCTTTCATATCGATTGAAGCCTGATAAGTCCTTCAGTTATGCGATAGACTATTCAGCACAAATGGAGGAAATCGAACAAGCAGTGTTCCCAAACCCCAGCGGCATGCAGCTTCCGACAAATGGGCTTTATAACAGCAATAGCTATAAAAAAACAAGGGCGATTAGCTCACAGAGCCATGATTAATCCATACTGGCACTTTTTTGGGTGTTACATATTTACACATTTCCTTGATTACCTAGCTAGCTTCCTAGTCACTTAACTGCCCACTTACCTAACTACTTACTCACCAGCCTACTCAATTAGTTATTGACCAAGCCTGCTGTTGAACCAGATTGTTATGGGCGCATATATCATATATATATATCATATATATATATTATATATATATAGAATCATTCAGCTGTAACATCCTTCCGGTGTCTGGGAAGGAAGCACGAGGGCTGGGGTACTGCCAGGCTGCCCAAGCCTAGACAGGGGAAGTCGAGAGGCAGAGGTCGGGTTCGAACCACGGACCTTCCAGTCAGTAAATTCGTGCTCTAACCACTTGCCTAACCATCTCGCCCCGCATGATTGGACATCTGATCGTATTTTTTAATCGCCCTGCGTCCCCAGGTCAACCGATCACTGATTTCTGGTGAGTTGTATTCTCTAGTTGATCTTTATCTTTTGGTTGTGATGCTTTGTCCGCTTGCAAGATCTCGGGGCAGGAGACTATTTCCACTGCGGTGTCTGTCCTCAGATGAACTTCTCTGGAACTCACGCACATAATTTCTTCTTGGATATGAATCCAATGAAATGGGGTTATATTCCAGGAGAAATGTGCTTGCGAACTGTGGACCGTTCTCTGATGATAGTTAATCTCGTATCATGTCCCATCCGCATGTTTGGTCCCGGAGCGGAGTTAACGATCATCGTGTACTAACGACTGTGATTTGAGGGGTACGGGTACTTTACTCGATCATACATTCAGAACGTGCCGAACCCGTCACGAAGAGGCTGGACCTTACCGTGGTGTGGCGGTTTGTGTACCTCGGCGACCCATTGAACTATACTGGCGAGTGTCCGCACGATGCTCACAGAGTCTCTCATACCAGGTTGGTCC